GCATGAATATATATATATATATATATATATTATGGTTTTCGTTAAAATAAAAACAGAAAAAAAACTGCTATGACCGTTAAATATAGTAATTGGGGAAACATATTTCTTCATTAATGCAACTAGATTTTTAATTTTGAATTGAAAAGTGCAAAAGCATTACTAATGCAGTTCTTTTTATAAATGCTGGCCTTTTTCATAGCTTATTCAATAATTTGATCTTTGTTAAGTTACATCTCTTAAAAAAAATGCAATTTCTTTTGAATTTGAATTTTATTCTGAATAATTTTGTAAAGGTCACCAAAATATTAAGTAAGTAATAGAATATTGATGGAACTCAAACATAATTAATTGTTTCAAAAATTCAAAAAAATACTTTAAAAAGAGTACTAACACACGGAATCCTTTTAACTTCCCCACAGAACCCTAGGGCTCCGCAGAACACCATTTGGGTAAATATGCATTTACATATTATGCATAAGTATTTCTCATTAAACTTTTAAATTAAAAATAACTAAATTTAAGTATGAAGAATTATGTTTCTTTGATAATCATTATCACAGTTTGTAATATTTTATGATAGTTACTTTTCAAAAGTATAGTTAAATTGACTCGTTCAGCTTATTTAAATGAATTTTATGCATGCGCCGAAAACAGATTCACAATTAGAAGCTACTCCAGACTTTTGAATTCAATGACCTGACGTTTAACTTGATTCTAAAATTGTTATTCATAAAGCAAGAAAAAAATTAATTCTTAAAAAATTTGAATAAAAGAACTTTAATTATTTGCTTTCCACGATTCGCCGAAAGAACTTCGATCATTTGGAGTTCCATAATCGTAAAATAAAGTTGGGAACCGCTGATCTATGTTCAATTATACGGATTTATTAATAATTTATTTGAAATACATGTAATTAGTATATACCGATTTTTATCTCTTGTCGTAAACTGGCATATTTACTCTAGAAATTATTAATCTAAAAAAACAAACTCAAATGAAAACTTTTGCTCATAGGACTGTTATCGATATTAATAACTTTTGAAATAGTAGGTACACCTTATTTTATTTTAATTTATGCACCTTAACTACAGAACTTCAGAAAATGTAATGAATAAATAAATAAATATAGTTTATTCGTAATCTGTGCGTCATTAGTTTGAAATTTCAAAACCATGAAATATCACGCCCTACTAATGAACCCCAAAGTTAATCAAGCAGCCCAAGATCCTAGAATTTATTCGAGACTTATTCGGTATTTAAGGATGCTGCAAATTTTTTTAACTATTTTCGGACGTGAGCTACAAACAAGGCCTGGAGTCTTTTTCGTGAGCACCTGGACAGGAGAGTTTTAGCTGTTAAGCTTTTACCCATGTAATGACCTAAATATGAAAGCATTTTACAATAGTGTACCGTACAATAGATAAACGACATGTATTACGTATACTTTTTTATTCGCATACTTTTTTTACTTTAGTTTTTTCTTGTTTTATTACGTTTAAAAAATTTTGTTAGTGCTTATTTATCATTAAATGACCTTTGACATTATCGATTCTGATTTTTTTTCCTTGTTCAAAAATTCTGCGAAATATACAGATTTGACTAGATAAATGTGTGATTTAATGAAAGAAAGTAAAAAGTAAATGAAGCAAGAGACTTTTTGCAGTCGAATTTTTCAATTAATCAAATAATTTGAATCAGAGTTGCACCACGCGCATTTTAAAGAGCCGCCATAAAACATGTTATTCGGAAGCATTTCTTTCCACTTGTGTTACATTATCAAAAACCACGTGGTGCCATTTGTTTACCATTTCGAATAAAAGGCCAAATCAACATGCATCTCGAATCCCATTTAGATGCAATGTGTCTAAAATTATATATTTTAAAACGTTCTAGAACACTGTCACAAATGGGCTGGGAGTGAATGAAAAAGCTCTCAGGCACGCCGGTGTGTCGTTCGGGAAGTGAAAGCGTTTCATGCTGGCACACATACGTTCAAGCCGACACAAATGGGCTCATTAACCGACATTTTATACCGTTCTATTAGAGACTCGCTCCACACATTTTGATGCTCAAACCATCTTCTTTTTACTAAGTCAAAGTTCATAACATTCAACTCCTATTAATGAACTCTAAACTATGGGTAATTTAATTAGCTAAAACTTCCTAAAATTGAATTTGTGCCGTGTCCTCTGCCTATTCAATGTATATCTATAATTTATTAATTAACCAAAGCCCTATAATATTTATTTTACATTTTATTTGATAAACGGTATTGAGCAGGAGACCCATTTTTGGCTTTAAGGGTATCAATGACAATAACTATCAATCACATAATATAAAGGAACTTCTGGGTCAAGCATTGTGACAAACTTTTTCATAAAGGACTTTTTTTCGGAAGAAACACGAATTTGCGTTACATGGAGAGAAAAAACACGAAAACCTCTCCCAGATATCTCGAGGGCTAGGGGATCCATCCACTTCATCAAGAGTATTTCATACCATTGCTGGGTCTCGAACTTGTGCCATTTCATTAATTTTCTAGCTTTTTATCCTTTGAGACATCGCGGCTATCAAAATAATTTATTTACAATTTAGCTTCATACCAATGGTTCCTAAGCACGATTTTCTAAAAATTTACCAAACTTTCATAAAGCATGATTGAAAGACAAATTTCCCCCCAATGCTTGATCCAGAAGTTCGCTTGTCTCCTGGATCAAGTTCAAAAGTTACAAGGTTACGAAGTTGAACATTAGTAGTCGTAAACCCAAAAATTGAGTCGGCTGTAAAATATCAGCCATCAAAAAAATAAAAAATAAAAAAATAAATAAAAACATAATTGGGAATCTTGTCTTGTAAGTGATGATACTAAAACCAATATTTCCTAAATCAAAACTTACAAACTTTCTTTAAGAAACTCCCTTAACTATTGAACCAGAACATGAGTTTTCTTAATTTGAAAAATATCATTACTCACATTTAATCAATATCATTATGCATATTTAATCAATATCATTATGCATATTTAATCAATATCATTATGCATATTTAATTGAAATTGCATTTCCCACCTACTAAATCGGAATCGAGAATTCAGTGATTAAAACTAATGTTTCATATTTGACCAAAGCTTAATAACAATAAATTAAAATTTCATTTCCTTCCTATAGATTTTGAACCTAATATTTTCCAATTCACAAAAACTTCATGATTTTAAAATAAAATATTGTTCTCAAGTCATTGATCTTAAAACAAACACTTTAAATTAGCCAAAAAATCTTAATGTTTAATTCTTATTTCATTTTACCCATGTATTATTAATTCCCAAAATTTATTAAATTGCCCTCAACCCAAAATTTATTAATTAGTCAAAAATTTATTAATATTTAAATTTGATCTAGCTTACCATTGATGGATTCTGAATCTAGTATTTCTTAATTATAAATATAAATTGGAACCACGTATTCTTCATTTGAATTTTCAAAATATAAATTAGAAGAATTTTAATACATTTTTGTTATTCACCAAATTAATATGCGTAATCAATTTACTTTTAAAAAGGAAGTAATTTCGAAAAAGGAATTTTTCCGAAAGCTGTATATCATTGTAAAATACCTTCATCCATAGCTACACAGAAAAGCTACTCAAGCATTGATAATCTATTTTGAAAGTAATTGCGTTAATTATCCTGAATATGTATTTAATCTCATACGAATTTATTTCTTGCGAATTTAT